GCTTACATCAAATAAACGATGTAGATTGTTACCTTTAGAATTAGTCAAACAAAGACTGCGTCCATCATTGACCCAAATCCTATCTGGTGTCAAAAAAGAAATGTGAACACCATGAATTAAGTCAGGTACAGCAACAAACTTCTTTAACATGCCTTGTGGCATCAGCTTTAACATTTGTTCATTTCTTACTTGTCTTTTTCCTACCTCTGTGATTTTGATTTCAACTAATAACTCTAAAATGCCCTCTGTTTCTATTTCTTCATTTATGTTACACATTAAGGTATCAGGAAGGTCTGTTGTTTTCGGGATGGGGGTCTTCTTTATGAACAACAAAAATTTTACAGATTTGTTTGCTAGTTGCTCGTATCTGTGCACATATTCTTTCATTTTGTGATGTTTCAATATAAAGCTCATATAAAAGTTTGTTTTATGCAAAACATAAAGTGTCTTACTATGTTTATCGGTAAGTTTTTTCAAGTTTTCAGCTTTAACCGTGAGCTTTTTTTGTATGCTGGAAAATTTTGCTTTTAAAGCTTTGGCGTTAGAATAGAGATCTGCCAGCATGGCACGATTGTATGGGAGGCTCTCACCTCTAATTTCAATAATTTTCCCGTTGTATTCCTGTCCTGTGACTTTGTAGTATAATTTTATATCCATAAGCTCGTGTCTTAGGTGCTTATAATTTTGATCACAAATTGGACATTCACAAGATTTGCACCAGTTTTTATATTTGCAATCTCGATGTTTCTCACATGACTCAGGTATTATAAAGTTATAATGCTTTAAACGGTAAATAACGGCGTCATGGTCTTTGGTATCGAGGTACACAACGTGTCTCTGCTTACAATACATACATAGATTTTGTTTGCATGGTCTGCAGTAAAATTCTACGTCATTGCCACACTGACAGCATTGAAGCACTTTAATCTGTGTCGTGACTTTCGTATTCACCATACTACCTTTATTTCGTCTCACTTGTCTTCTAGGTTCAAAATTTTATTTCAGAGTACAGTCTGCAATTTAAAAACATACAAAATATAGATAACTAACATATATATTAAATTCCATAATAATTACAAGGATTAAGAAATAAATATTAATCATATTTTTCACAGACACGTAAACATTTATGATACGTAAATCGAAATGGTGGACAGATAATACAAACAAACTTTCATAAAGGTCATGTTTATGTAAGTGAAATAACAAGTTAAACCGGATACTTTTTCAATTTTTCATTCAAAATTTCACAATAATGGGATTTGAAGTGACAAAATTTGGATAGATTAATAAGGATGGTTGCAGATAAATAAAATTTAACATCATAGAAGGTTTACCATTTTTTATTTTATTTATTTATTTTTTGCACCATTTACAACAAAAATAGACCTCAAAATATATAATAATACAGCAGGTTTGTAGTATCTGTCATTAAATTGAAAAACGAACTTCTAATAAAATTGTTGTTCACTAAAACAAGATTTTTTCTTTAAATCCCACAGAATTGTTTTTAATTAATAACACATACAGCCCTTCTTAAATAATTCCTTCAAATCTTATCCTTTTTGTAAAGGTATATTCAAAACTTACACATTTCACATGTTTTTAAATGAGAGAAGGAAAATGTACTTTTTAAGCACAATTTTTATTAGATTTTCTAATTTGTACTTTAATTTTCTTTAATTTGACTCAAAGGTGTATTTCTTGTGCCATTGCTCTTGCGTTCCAACAATTTCGACCCTTTGACCTTGAAGTTTGATCTTCTTTTTAAAAACTTTGTTCTTTGCCATATTTTTTGAATGGTTACTGTTAGATTTTCCATTTCACAGATGTGACAGTATTTCCATTAAAGGGATTGGGGTGTTTTAGAAGATCATATTTTCTAAAATTTTCTTAATAATATCATGACTTATATGATGCTAGTGCATTTCACACACACCGAAATACACGTATATAAATGAGTATTCAGAACCCTTTTTAGCCGGGCTTATTGCTCAAAGAGTAATTGCCGGCTTATGTGATCCTGTTCAAGACAGGATGTTGACCCCATAGTCGCCATTTTAAAGTTACGTGCAAAAATAAAGTTCTTACTCTCAACCGCTTTTGAGATAATACAAACGCTAAATAAAGCAATAAAAATAAAACGAAGTTTTATATATATAAAATAAACATTAGTAGTAATGACTTTGAAAACTTCATAAGTCAAAGAACATAGTTCATTAGCGAAAGGATTTTTGATAATCAGTGTTACCTTAGTTCTCTACACATACGAGGTAAAGCAGGAGAGGGAACCAGACTGGCCTGTTTGTTTACATTCAGCTGCGGTACCAGTCATAAGATTAATTCTGATTCTGACAAAATCGGACCGTGGTATTAGGATTGAAAAACTCACTGTCAGTGTCTTATCATTTATATTGATAGTTTTAAAATAATTTTTTCATCAGAATATATACGTGATTCATGTAAGAAATCCATTCTACTCTGTAAATGAGCCCGGCTCTCCGTACTTCTGAGTACTTTGATTATCTATAAATAATTAAAACTACAGGAAATGTATTCGGACTTACAAAAAAATTTACCGGAGAAAATGATTTTCGGAAAAAGTCACAATTGAAGATCAATGTTCTTTAGTTGTTTTCTTTCGTATATTTGTGTAAATTTTTCAAATTTGCAATTTTTATCTTGATTTTTTTTCACTGCAGCTGTGAAATTAATCTCCAAACGTAGCCAAACCAACATTTTGTCCATTTAAGCACCAATTTTTTTTATGAATTTTAGCGTAGAAGTCCTTCAGGGCAGGCCTGTCCCTAAATCAAATTATGAAATAAATATGTGATAGATTTTGATGTACAGAAAAACTTAAAGCAAGATTTTTCTATGATGACCCCGTCCTAAGGTCGAAATTCGTAAAAAAAATATCTACAAAAAACCCCCTATTTTTATCATACTGGTTTATATTTCTTAGTGTTCTGGTTTAAATCCACCTGTTCGCACATTTCTATTTTTGACTTTTTAACTTTTAACCTGTATAATCACAATTTAATTTTTTCATACAGGTCTTTGTATTTTACTTCTATTTTCTTCCCTAAATTGATATGAGAGTTATGGAAATGCAGATCATAAATTCTATTTATCTCTAAACGCAATCAACCGGAACTATACTTCAGTGTAAGCACACTTTGTTGGAGGTTACAAATCATTTACATTGTGTTACTCGGTACTGGTGTCACGAAAAAAAAATCTCATGCCGAAAAAAAAAATTGCTGCATCTACCTTTGAAGAACATCTTTGGGTATAGTATAGTTGTGCCACAGTGGAGAGGTACTGCAGAGTAGATGCAGTTAATTCCTCGGAAAAATGTGTGCAACGGCGATATTAATGCCGAAAAAGCAGGGGAGGAAGTAAATGTTTACAGATTAGAATAAGATGTGTTATTAAGATCATTTTAGGTTTTATGTCCCATTGCCAGTACTTAGGCATCAAGTAAGGACCCTCATACAAAGAATATTCTGTAAATACTGAGAGGGGCGTAAGATACATATAAACACACAGTTGACTAGAACTAAAACGAAATATGAGAGAACAAAAAAACTACACGCTTGTGGCCTGATGTCAATAGCCTTCTCTAAAGAGAAAAACCAATATCGACCTAATTGGTCGACGCATATTGTTTCTTTCACGGCGTGTTGATTGACACATACCCGTGCACTTAATTTCACAAAGTGGACTTAAAACAAAACCAACTTACCATTATTTTTAGCCTGAAGTCATCGCAGCGTGCAGACTAAAAAAATTAACACAACGGGTAAAAAGATAACACTAGCATTCATCACGGTATCTAACCCACATACTAAAAAAACCCGGAAGTTGTTGCGCATCGAAGCATGTAAACTAGCCTAGAGAAGAACAATTACCCGTTAAATTGCAAGTTGAGCATTACTATTGACAAACTAACCTGATGAATTAACGTAATTATCATGCGGTACATCCCGCTGAATTAGTGTCAATTGCTTGCATATTAAAATTGAAAAAATATGTAGGTAGAAATTTAAAAAATGCTGTCGTTTGCTCACATATTTTAACATGCATGTAACTTTTGTACGTTGCTTCTAGTCCACAAGAGATATAATTATTTCCCGAAATATTAAAAATTGTGATACTAAAACAATGTTTTTTGTGTTTCAGAGTTTTACAGTGAAATGTTCAGATTTGAAATTACACAATTTAAATCACCATTGTCATTGCAATCACTTTATGTGCCCTTTCAAACGAGATTGTTCGAACTGTATTGTTCGTTCATAAATTAAACGCAAATTGTCCTGTCATGCAATTGATGAACAAACAAGAAATCCACAAGTATTGATTCCGCCTCCCGTATAAATATAATGGTAATGTCCATGTTTTGCATGGCTTGTAAAATGACTTGTAGGAAACCAAAAACAGTGTATATGTCACAGACCAAAAAGTAAAACAGGAGGTGCACAATAAAATATGTAATAAAGATTTTATGAAAGTCTCAAATATTCAAATATGAAACAGATGTGGCAGACTCTTTGTTGTCTTTTATTTGGGATATATCGAATCGACATGTGATTCTTCTAATTAAAATTTAATAAAGATAAAATTTCTTTGCACTATATAATCAAAATTATCGAAAAAGAAATATAATTTATATTCATGTTATCGAATGATTGAAACATTATAGTAAATGACTGGTGCATTATACAACAATAAGAGAAAGTTTGCAACATAGCTTATAATTACAGAACACAATGGAACATTATATAATCTGTGATGCATATTTCTGACAAAATATACATTAGTCTGTGTGTGTGTCCAGTAAGGTTTATCACAATTCATTTTGAAATTATCATGTTTTAATTCATATCTATAGTTAGTCTCAGTTTAATTCTTTCATCACTTTTATAAATAATTCTTTCTATTAATGTATCGGTATAAATACACTCCATCTACATATGATCCAACCCATAAAAGGTGGTTTATGTTATCATAGGCCAGGCTCCATGGCATCCTGATGTCTGGAAATCTGAACAGTCGTAACAGAAAGTGGCCGTCTTTGTCAAGAACTTGTATGGAGCCTGTGTCGCCACAGCACACCAGGATGTTTGATAGTACGTCTGTACAAATCCCACATGGTAAAATTTGTTGTCCTCTTGTAGGGGGTCTGATGTAGGAGAAGCGGTATCTTCCTCCACTGTCCGTTACAACCAAAACACCACTGTGTGAAGTTCTAAAATCTGACACAATAACATCTCCATTCCTTTCTCTGTTATGTATACAGGACAATTATAAAGCGTCTGACCATCGCCCTTGTATTGGATAGTTTGGATCAGTAATCCTTTACTATTGTACCGGGTTACTTTTGCTTCTGTGTGGTAGTCTTTCCCTATATCATATTTACCAGAACCTATTAGTAAAACTCCATTTAACAGGGAACTGTAGATACAATGTGGTTTCCAGGGATCTGATCTCTTTACTAGTGTTGATTCTGTTGTGGTGTCTTGTGAAAGTTTACAGATGTTATCATTTTGATTTATGTAAAGGAGTTCTTTTTCTCTGGTCACTGTGTGTACACCAACACCATTATTTTTAACTGCCAGCTGATGCAGTATGTCACCATTTGCATTGGTTAAGATTAAGCTATTTTTATCACTTACCCAGATTTTGTTTGGTAAGCCAAGAGAAATATGACGATACTCTGTGATATCTGTCACAACTAAAGATTTGTGGAACTCAGGTCTGATCATTTCCAGGAGGGAATCGTTTCTTACTTTCCTTCTCCCTAACCTTTTCTGTTTTATTTTTCCTATAAAACAAATCACATCTTCCTTAATTTCATTCATTTTGGGAATTTGAAACTTCTTCAGCCATAAAAGGAATAGTACTGGTCTATTTGCTGACTGTTCAAATTGATCTTCATATCTTATCATGTTTTCAATATGTTGGAATTTCGATGAGAATAATTGAGACATTAATTCAGTAAATTCCTTTTGCATTTCTTTATCGATAAATTCCTTCAGTGTCTGACATTTTCCTGTCATCTGCAACCAGACTTTGGATATTTCCTTTTGAATCAATATAATTTCTGTTTCCTGGTCAGATTTTATATCCGATAAGATAACCATATTATTAGGAAGTATATCGCCTCGGAGGTGAATAATTCTGTCATTGCTCTTTTCTCTGCACACCATGCAATATGATTCTATATTCTGTGTTTCATGTTGTAGGTGTTCATTACACTTGACACAGATAGTATTTTCACAAGATAGACACCAGCGGTCATATTTTCTGTCTTTGTGTCTTTTACACGCTTCTGATATCATGACTCCATTCTTATATTGACTTATTACTATATCATGGTACATAGTGTCCAAATCTATTACATGTTTCTCCTTACAGGGAGCACAAAGGTCTCGTTTACACGTGTTGCAGTAGAATTCTATATTCCCGTGAAATATATTACAAATTGGTGTCATTGCTGTATTATATATATTCACAATGCTCATTTATTTCAGGCGTTATGTTCGGGCGAAATTTGAAGATAAGAAACACTGATCATGTCTAAAAGTCCACTTACACAATACAAATTATTAGCAGAGCAAACATTGATCTTCAAATCAGAAGTGGCACCAGCTTACATCTTCGGCCAAACGGAAAATTCTGATGAAAACTCATGATGAGATAATGAACAGCATTCAAAATCAAGAGTCGATAAAATAATACAAAATAGTAGCAGTGCAAACACGGAACTCCAAAACATCAGAGGTGGAATCAGGTGCCATGATGGAGTGAACGTCCCCTGCTGACCCGTCACAGCCGCCATGAGCTCCCTGTCATGATTGGGAAACAACGTGAAAATCTGTCCTCACTTTCTTTATAAAATTGGTCGGAACAGATAGTATGAAAAATGTCAATCAGCATTTAACTCAGTATTTGCTGACAATGTCATTGCATTTTTAAAAACAAGACTGTTGAAATTCTTGTCTCATCAATTTGTTTGTAAATAATTAATCTCCTTCGAGAAATTGTTCAAACATAGAGCATGCTCTTGCGTATCGAATTAACTGAGATATATAAACTCCGTATTAACATGCAAGACATCAGTCAGCATTTGGTTACATCGTGAATTAGTAAAATTGTGCTGATATCTGAAAATAGAAAAGTAAGAATCTCAGGATATCGAAAAAAATAAGCTATTTCTGAGAATCTTGAATATATGTTTCCCGCTTGAGATAAAAATAGCATGTACGGATAATGCGAATCTTGGAGGTGGGGTTGGGGGGGGCGGAGGGGGAAAAGGTCGGGCGGGGTCATAAGGGGTTTTAAATTAATATTTATTGTAGTCCGAAAATGAAAGTTTCACACAGATATAGAATGTATGAATATACAGCTCCATTAGGAAGTTGTGGATTAAAATAGCAATGAAAAACTCAAAAGCTTTTACGATATATCGCCTGCAAATAAAAGTTTAAGATACACATAGAATGTTTGAATTTACGTCATTGATCTTTGACACTTTGATCTCAAAATGAATAGGTTTTCCCTAGTTCATTCAGATTTGTGTTAAACTATATTGCAAAAAAACCCTTCTAGCTTCTAGAGATGTCGCGCTTAAACGAAAGTGTTACAGTCCGACAGAGGTACAGCTAGACAGACAGTCAGACCAAAATCAATATCCCCCACTTTCACCATGAAGGGGGGGGGATTGAGAAACAGGAAAGTACACAAAAAGTGAGATAGTCTACATACAGCATGCAGTACATCAATACACTAATTTGAAAACATGCCTGATTGCCAAAAAAAACCCAAATGTAATTCGACAAACGTTTAGAAGTGACATTATTTTCATTTAGGAGTTTTCTGTAGGTAAATAGAAATATAAACCTTGAACATTAAACTTCACATTTTTAATTTTACCTAAAAGTCCACTGGTGTGTTATTGAATTGAGAGACGAAATCTTTTTTATTGCAACAAAAGACAATTTTGATGGTTCATAAAGATTCCTAATTTACCATCTTTGATGATGTCATGAGTGTCCTGTCATGTACCTTCTTAACTGTCCGAGGAACAACTAATGAATGAAATGTTATGTTTCCCTAGCCAAAATATATGGCTGTGTCTAATGAATATATGGATCAAAGTATTAATTCAAGCTTATCTAAATAGTTTTCTGGACTTACACAATCATTTGATGGAGATGAAAATATCACCACTACTGATGTGAGTATACCACACTATCTAAACGTGACTTTTAACAAGTACAGTATAACTGTGTCATTCCAACAGGAGAAATATGAAACAATTTTGAACTATTTGAAAGAAGAATTAAAAACAATTAAAGGATTAGGAAAAAATGGACAGATTTTTAAAGTCTTATTGTGATTCTGTGACGGCCACTCTCTATGCTGGGACAAGCGTCTTACATATTCAAGGTTCGTCAGCAAATACATGGCTTGACAAATTCATTCAAGACATCAAGAGTAAGGACACTAGCAATACTAGTAATGTTCTTGAACAATCAACACCACAAATGGCATCAACACCAGTCAAAAGTGCTTCTCTTATGTCGACCAGTCTGTCTAGTGATGTACAAAATTGTACACAGTGCGCAAGTACAATTCAATCTTTACAACTGGCAATTAGTAATTTAGCAAAAGAATTGGAAGAGCTGAAAGAAAAACCAAAGTGTCGAAAAGAAACGGATCATGACAAACCAATAATGCTTGACAAAAACACCCAGACGTCGATCAAGGTTGTGAAAAACAAGGAAACAGACGTACACGGTTTGAATTTGGTGCCAAATACATGTAATTCTGTTTCTAGACATACTCAATGCGAACATCCTTTACCGGAAAAGAACGCAAAATCTACAGCTGATTCTGGTACGAACACGGAACCACAGAACCATCCGATAAAATACCTCCAAGACCTACGGGTACGAATGAACAACAGGAAAACTCTTGGATTGCCAAACTTATAATTGGCAGTTCAATTCTACAACGAACCAGAGGACTACAAAAGGGTATTCATGTCCGGACAAACATAGGTGCTAAGCTTTCCAACATCAAAGCTAAGCTTCTCAAAATATATGTAGCAGAATACTCGCACATAATTATCCAAGCCGGGGGAAATGATGCCTCATCTCATCGAGACATGGACGCCATTGAACATGACGCTGGAGAAAAAATCATCTCCAGCATCAAACATCGTTCACCGTGTACCAAAGTGTATTTCTCTGAAGTGTTACCAAGACGGAATGTGGATGTATCCCATGTGAATACCACACTTAAATATGTTTGTAATGAGTATGGAGCTCTCTTTATTTCCGACAAAGGTGATTTCAAGGAGGCAAAGGGCATTCATTATTGGAAAGACGGGATTCATCTTTCAGACAAGAGGACGTCGATGCTACTCAGACTGATTAATAGGGAAGTTTCAATTCTACGGGGAAATTCCGGTCGAAACATAGCGGACTCCAATGCAAGTTTTTACCAGTCTGTGACTTGCTACTTCTGCATTGAACACGGACACACATTGCGCCACTGTAGACACGGACGAAAGCTTGATTGCTGGAATTGCGGGGAATTAGGACACAAGACGAAATCCTGTCCTTACATGTTCTAGGTATCAGGCAATGAATGTGTAGCCGTTAACAAGCATACTAAATCTATATCAAACTCTAGTACTTTTTCTATCCTTAGCATTTTTTGTAATGAATGTAATAACTTTCAATGTTTATGTGACGATACTGAAAACTGTTATGACTCCACAAATTCTAAATTGACAAGAGAAACACAAGTCACAAGTTAAATGTAAGAATCAATCGAACTCAAATTCTAAAAGTAGCCCTAGTTCAGCTAAAACTACTGTCATTTCCCCTATGCCAGGCTCATTCAATTCTGTTTCACAAGTAAAGAAAACGGTTCCTCTGACCCATAGCAATGATATTCAAACAACACAAAACAATCAAGGATTTGGATTGGTAAAAAAAGGTTTACGATTCGGAAATTTGAATATTCGTCCTATTATCCCCAAAAAGTTGAATTAAAATTATTACTTCAAAACAGACAAACTCTAGATATTTTAGGTTTATGTGAAACATTTTTGACTGAGCTGATAGGCAACTCTGAATTGAATATTGAGGGCTTTGTCTTTGAAAGAAAAGATCGTCTACTAAAGGAAGGTGGTGGAATCTTGATATACATTTCAAATGAGATTTCATATAAATGTAGAACTGATTCAGAAATCAGTAGCATTGAGACAATCTGGCTAGAGATAAATCTGAAAAATTCAAAACCTATATTTTATTGCTCTGCTTGTCGTCCACCATCTGCCCCCTCCTGCTGGGCGGAGGACCTAGCAAGGGAGGTGAACCGTGCCTCCTGCTGTGACGATACTGAAATAATTCTATCAGGTGATTTCATGATTGATCTAATGAAAGACCCCCCACAATACTGGGCATCTGCTTTAGAGGAGTTTGGACTTTCACAGATAGTTACTGTTCCTACTAGAATAATGTGGTAGTGTTAGATAAACGGCATCCTACTAGCTTGGGCTAGTGGGTTAACCCTTTAGCTCAATTGGTAGAGCACTGGACTGGCATGCCAGAGGTCCCGGGTTCGATCCCCAGCAGAGGCACAAAATTGTCTCTGTTACATTTGGCGCCCACGTTGGGACCTGGGTGTTCTCTGGCGGGTGAAAATGATTGCCCCCAGAACTTCGCCCCACAGGCGTCGGCACTCTGAAAGAGATGAGGACATCTCATTCTCTGGAGGGGGACAATGTGGTAGTGTTAGATAAACGGCATCCTACTAGCTTGGGCTAGTGGGTTAACCCTTTAGCTCAATTGGTAGAGCACTGGACGGGTATGCAAGAGGTCCCGGGTTCGATCCCCAGCAGAGGCACAAAATTGTCTCTGTTACAATAACAAGTACCTCAAGTACCTTAATTGATCATTTTTATACAACGAAACCAGAAAACGTATGCGAAACAAATGTACCCCCTATTGCTATATCTGACCACTACCTGTATGTTTGACACGGAAAACTAATTGTATACAGCGTGGAGGAAAACATACTGAAATCCAGATTTTAAACAATTCAATGAAAATGAGTTTTTAAGAGATTTAGAAAATGCAAATTTTAACTCACTTCTTGAGCTAAAAGACACAAACGAGATTGAATAAATTTATGAATCATTTAACAATATTCTTAACAAGCATGCCAAAGTAAAAACTAAAAGAGTCAAGACTGAAATTCGACCTAAATGGCGTACTCAGGAAATAAATGATGCTAGACATTTACGTGATACTTACCATCTACAAAGCAATTCACAAAATTACAAATTTTGGAGAAATAAAGTCACACAATTAATAGATCAAGCCAAATCAAAGTATTACAAATCAGCAATTGAAGAAAGTTCAAGTCCTAAAGAAATGTGGAGTTATTTAAACCAATTGGCATCTGATTCAAAAAA